ATTTATATATCATTAGTTACAGAGCTCTGGAAGGACTATAAATAATATTAGTTGTTGCGCCGTCACACGTGACATGCGTGTCACCTTGTAGAATAATTCAACATGAACTACGAGCCTGAGAAGACGTAGGGGTGAAGGGAGTACGTCTTCACTCATTGACGGTTGAAGCGAGCCGCGACACTTTCACTGCTCCGTTATTGCACTTACTACGCGCCTACTGCACCCGCCGGGGGGAGACGGATGCATACACCCTCCCCGCGCACCCCGCGCACCCAGCACCCCTCACCCACTCATCACACAGGGCCGAACGCAAGGGTGACTCCAGCACAAGAATAGAACGTCCCCACTTACTTTAATAATTCCAATTTTTATTATATTCATCTAGTCTCCTTTGTGTCAACATTCCCAGGACCCGAACGACACTTCCGTGTGTATCACTTGATTTATGTTTTGGGAATCTGGATATGTGTAGTCAGTAATCGAAATTTACTATGGAATATGACGATCAAATCACACTCAACAAAACTATTTGGTTTGAACTCAGTTTAAAATCTATTACAAATATGTTTCGATATTAACAGTGTAGGTTCAAGCTAGGTTCATTGTCGTACAATACCGGATGTTAGTAGTGTAACGATTGCTACACGCGGCCGATCTATCACCGCCTCTCGGTCTAGACGGCCGATGTGGGACAATGTCAGTCGTTAGGGCCTGCCATTATTTGCGTGACCGTGTGTAGAGCGCTCCCGGGCGAGTACAGCTCGTCACTCAAGTTTGTACACAGAACATTTAAAACGCTAACTAGATCTCACTAATTCAGTGTTAGTGAACGTGACTTGTCGCGACCGCCCCGCCCTTGTAATTGATAGCCGATAGCTAGCCGACATTGAACCCGTCGGCCACTGCAAATATATCTACCGCGGACTTCCGGAGTCCCGGTGACGTAGACGTGTGACGTGCTCTGACGTAACGCGGCCATATTCTTTCTGTTTACACTATAAACAATATTTACATTGTTATTGCATCACGAGGTCGTCGCCTTATCTTTTATTGCTTTTCGTTTTTACGTGTCCGTATCGCGATACTGTATACTTGTTATTGTTTATGATTTGTCATATAATACTATTATAGATCTAGATTACTTTCAGTTTCTGTTTCGTGAGGACGGTCGAGGTCTGGTTCGTGAGGACGTCATCAATGATTGATAAATTGATTTCATTAAAGATAATAAGTTAAAGGAATTCGTTTGTGGATCTTTATAGGATTGTTGTTAGTCATTCGAGTGGAAGGCTCTAGGGACTAATCTTCTAAGTGCGCAGCCTTCGCCAGCCCGGGCGCGGGTGCCGGGTGGGGTTCATTAAAAATTCATTCTTATATAGCAGCGACGTCGTAATCAGCCACAGAGGGGCCGGGTACGAAATGTTCTCCTCTTCAGATTATTTACTATACAAGCCATACATTATGTTCATGTTATAATATACATAATTAATATATAACAATGCATTCATAGATTCAAGATCATGACATTCCCATACTCCTTATCATTCTAATGTTTCAAATTAACCCTAATATACTTAGATACTATAAATACATTTTTTATGTAATTGGATAATTACAGTAATGTAGTGTACGGGTGTGTGGGTGAACACAATTCTGGGTTGGGGAGGTCCTCCTTTCCCACCCGAGCCCTACCACTTGTACATAAGAATTGTCGAACAGAACTCGACATTACAAACTTGTATCATTATTTTCTATCTATGATTAACTATGGCATTGTTTTATTAACATTTTCATAACGTCTAGTATTTGATACCGTTCGGTGTGTTTTCTTCATTAATCAAAAATATTTATATGGTAGGGGACGATAGGGGGTGAACTCCCCCGACCCCCTTCTAATCTTTTTTCGTCCCCATCAACCCCGTGACGTCATCTCGGATATTAAATACAAAAAAAATACTCTTAAAGCGAAAAAAATGACATGAAAACTAAAGATTCGAGACAAAACGTTGAAATATTTAACTTTTAAGGCATGTATAGGATATGAATAACGGGAAACAGAAACGGGTTCTCGGTGGATCAAATATTTCGATGCACGCACTTGATCAGCTGTCTCAAACATCTATTTATAATCCATTCTCGCTTTGTATAGTTACGATTGATATGCATGAATGAAATCATTACACATATCATCTCTTAATCACTCTATTATGACTGACGCTCATTATTTATAACGGAAGGAAGGCAGAATAGTATGTTTAATTTATTTCTTAATTATTCTTTTTTCGATAATTTGTTTTATAGTTCATATGATGAAGCGCATTGTAATGAGGAAAGGATTTTTTCGAATTCTCCATAATATTAACAATTTTGCATTCACTGTTTCCTTAAACCATAATTTAGTAATATTTTTAGTGTTAAATAAAATGTAATACAATAACTTTCAATTTTAATATTATAAATTAATATCACCGGTTTGCAATAATGGTTATTTCTTAACACAACGACATGATTTTTAGCATACGACTTGTCGTCTAGTAGATTGGCCTTCAAACTTTTTAAAATTCTTATATATCAATATAATGTAAAGAATTAGAACCCGCATTCTATATAGAGTCCATATTACAAGCAATTAAACATTCCCTTCTTCACTACAGTCAAGTTAAGTCGCAACAGCTAACTCTGCAAGTCTTACATAAAATATTTTTTTTCTGTTGGGAAAGAGAACGTGCCGAGAGTGTGGCCGGTCGGACATTATTTCTCATGCAGCGTTTCGCAATGCGCGGGCGCAGCCGTGAAGAAATAGCGTCAGTATCAGCGGCGTTGTCACACTGACACGTGTGCGTGTGTGCGTGCGGCCGTGTGTGTGCGTCACGTCGAATACTTTCACCATACTTTCGTCGCTGCGCTAAAAAAACTGCTATTAGACGTCTTTTAATACATGCGATGCAACTTGCATCTATGAGCCGTGTTGAGCTTTGTATACTCGTGATCCATGTGTGGATAAATAATAATGAGGATCGCTTTGTACTATCAATTCTGTCAGCGCGATATCCAGTAGGCTCTGTTTGAATAATCTATTCTGTCTGTTCGTTAATATATAATGTAGGTACAGTCCGTTTCAGAACGGGCCGTGACTGCATGCACTAATTTTATATTCTTTCAACATCGACCCGCTCTTATTTCTCCAAAACGCGATACAAGTAAAGTCCATTTGCTTCTATGGCGCCTGTCTAATTAAGCTCTGTCATACACTCTGCGAAGGCTCTATTACGAGCCGACTCCGAACTTAGAGCGGACTATAACACATTTGATATTCAACTGGAGTGAGGGATCAGGGGAGAGTGGATCCTATGCGGGGGTAGTAAGGTCGATATTGTAAGGGTGGAGTTTAATTTCGCTCAGTGTGACAATTACGGCGATGCGGCCCGCCCTCGCGCCGCCGCAATCGATAGGCCTAGCGCGGGGCTGGACGAGATAGGGGTGAGGCGGGAGGGGGCTCTGCGGCGGGGGCGGGGGGAGGTCATTACTTACGCAAAGCAATGGCATGAGCACTTGCTACAGCATTGTCAATCAGAGCAGCTCCTCGACCGGTCCCTGCGACCCAAACAGACCGTACTATTGATTTTTCCATCAACGATAATCGGAGTCGTTCCTAAACGAACGTAACTGAAAATTTTAATACAAAAGTTACAATGAGCTCTAACAAAGCTCGGCAACTTTTTAAGGGTACGGCTTAACGAATTGGCAATGGGTTAAGGGTGTATAACTGAATTCGGGGTTGCTCTTTGTGTGCCCCCTCGAGAATAGTCCCTTTATAACTCGGAAAGAGACGTTACTAGCATCATAATCCTCACGAATTATGTAACGTAGATTCTTTAATTATAAACTAGAAATAGTAGACAAATTCCTTAAGGTCCAATTCTCTGATTGAGAGAAATAATGCGCTGCTACCAGTCTAGCGGCAATGTCATTCGACTAAGCCGAGTTCATGAAAAAGCGTCGCGTCAGTTTGAGCTTGAGATAAGTTTACGCGGGAAAAGTCATTCCCGCGCTTTGTTACCAACGAGTTTTCTCAGGGGTGGGGGTAGTATATAAGCGCCTCCACCCCAGTCGAGAGGAACATTATGTATTAGGATCGGATGAGCTCAGTTCTCAGCGCTGGCGTCCGTGGGCACACGTCTAAGAGATTACAAATTCTCATTATGCTTTGAGGAATTTAAATGTTGGAAAATGTTCTGTATACAGATAAAATTACATTTATCTTCAGTATCAAATTAATATAAAAGATTATTATATTGATAAAATTATGAATCATTTCCAGTAAATATAAATACATACTTTCTTAGAAATCATAGACAGTACATATGTAGACATCCCTAATTTTATTTTCGTCTTTATTTAGTAGCTATAATATTATATAATATTATTTAATATAATTAAAACTAAAGATATATAAACGAATACATATATAATATAATAAAACATTAAAATAAAGCAGTTGATGTCTGTGTGTCAACTATCAGCTGTTATCACTTCTTATCATGACTCAAGGTGACGGTACCTGTAATGTAAATCGCCATTACGAATAAATGCCACAGATTATATACGTAATTTAATACGCTTTTAATATATTTACCACCAAATAAAATACATGTCCTAAAACAGAAATTAAAATCGCCATACAATTATAAGTAAATAAATTGATTAATTTCTTTGCGCGATTATATAATTAGATTTTCTGTGAATTTTTTATGCTATACTTAAGAACTATTGTTTCAATATTAAAAACACATTAACTGAATCTCCCAACACAGCCCTTATCGTCCACATTTGACATTGATCTCTACAACACATCTAATCCGAGTTATCATTTTCAATTGGCGGAGTATAAAAACGCGCCAGTAATGTACATCAGCGAAGGCCACGTGCTCGGTTGACGTTAACAAAGTTTTCCGTTGCGGAGAAAACTTTGTGACATGTGAGTAGTAGATACTTACAATATGTGCCCCTCCCTGACACGAGAACCCCACACCCCTCGCATCCGCCGAGGTGACTCAGCGGCGCCCTCGCACGACGTCGCCCCGTCTGCCCCCATACAAAATTTATACCGACCCTCTTCCCAAGAATATTGGACCCCCGCCCGACGAATACCACGTCTACCGCTCGGGGATAAAATCCATTTTACCGCGCAGCCCGCCGGTGAGACAAAGGAGCGCTAGCAATTCCGCCAAAAACAAACCCTAACTCCTGAGGGATATAGTTTGTAATTTATGGTGCGAGTTGAGTCACGTGCTGCGAAACGCTGTGATGACATCGCTGGCTTGGACTCGCATAACTCCACTTGAAATGTTGCTTTCTAGTCTTCAGAATAACCTCGGCTTTAAATTTTATAATATAACTTGAAAAAAATATATATTGAAGAAATGTAACATATATATACATATTACAAACAATACATTGTACATACATATATTTAAGACAATTAGACGAGTTATGAATAAAAAATCTATAAAACCGATATGTGTGTGCCAGCAACGCTGGAGCTAGTTCCATTCGTATAGCTCGATGTTCCTTGTCTCGAGAGCGTATGCTCTCACATCTCCTTAAATCGTCCTTCGCCACAGCCCCCTTAATTCTGCCAGCCCGCTGTGGGGTGGTCTCTCTTGTTAAGCGGAGTATCTCCCCCTTATTTATGCCCGGCTCGTGGTGGCGGGCGGAGGGCGAAGCCCGGGGGCGCTCTATCGACGTTCATTCGTATCTATGTACTGGTGAATTAAGAGCGAGTCGGCTTTCATTTTACTTTAAAGCTTCCACGCTCGTGTGCCCGCTCTCCTTTCAGCCAAATGACTACGTCGTCGCTAAATTCGATTTTAACCCCCGGCGATACGGTCGCGAACTCCGACCAACTTTTATTCGCCTTCAGTGTTTTATAACTTCGGAAGGGTGATAAGGAGGGAGGGTTTTTGTGAGTGGAAGGACTTTTTTTTGTGACGTACGTTTTTTATGTTTTATTCGTTTAGGGTTCGCTAAGATAACGATGTCATGCTGAGGGTGAAAAGTGCGCTTCGAGGGATATGTTCAGGAGCTGGTGCATACGAATGCAATAAAAAAAATGTGCTTGCATTCTATCAGATATATTTTGTACCACCCACTCGTGTACTCATGTATATGGATAAGGAGCTAATTTTTATAAACTAGTAGTGGTTCGATTCAGCGTCCCGCACTCCCGGAGACTATATCTGTATATACACACATTATATATTGTCTGTATCGTTGAACGGGTACAGTGGGTGGTTAAGTGTACGCACAGCGTCTTCAGAGAAAGTGAAATTTAGCACAAGTTCGAGAAATACAACTGTACGCGTCCACCCACCCTTTGAGGAGTCGTCTTCGAGGGGTGGTTGTCGGCAAACTCGGCTTATAACAATTAAGTTTATTCGCTTTCCCGTTTTCTACTTTGTCTAAGTGAGGAACATTTGGGATGTGCTTATACTTCCACTCACCTTAGATTTGAAATGTTCTTTTTTTGTTTTCACATCGGACCCGAATAGAAACTTAAATTCAGCTGCGATTTGATGTATAATCTATGATGAAAAATCAAGTGAGTAAGTACAGTAAGTACGGTTGAACGACCTTTGTTAAGGTGTCGCTTTCGGGCAGGTTATTTAGTGCGGGGTGGTGTGGGGCGAGGGCCGGCCGGGTCGCCGGGCAACGCAACTGGGTCACTCCGGGCCACCACCGCCCACCAATTATATACACGCTCGTTACCGGACACGCGTTTTTCAATCACATCCATATTTAATTGGGCATCACGGCTGGAATATGTATAGTCCAGTTTCATTGGGAACTTTATTTAAATTGCTGTGTCACCTTTCAAAATCATCGCAACGTTATGTTATATATATTGGCGAACGTTAATAGGGAATTAATAACAAATTTATAATAAATATGCCCTGGGTCAGTAATCAGTATTAGGACCGCGGTGTTAGCGATTATGTTAGTGACTTTCGTATAGAGAAATTAGGTAAAGGCTGGTAGTAAATCTTGGGGAGCTCCTTACAAGACATAAAGCCCTAACTTGTTGCATGGATGCACCGCGGAGGGTGCGGGTGGTCGGGTCGCGCGGGCGGGGGGACGGGGGAGGGTCGTCTTCATAGTGAATGAGCGCGAGATGTCGTGGCCGGCGAGTATGGAGATGCCGCCATTGATAACCGTGACCTCGCCCTTATCACTCACCCACGACCATCACTCGCGTGTACACTGTATATGTAACATATGCTGTGTCAATCACCTGTTACTGTCACACTACAACTACTAACTAAACATAGTATAAACGAGTCATATACAAAAAGATGAAGGCACTCTTTTAATGTAAGAAAACCTAAGCATATTCTGTAGAAGTCCTTCCAACGATTGCCTCATAATGTAGTGAAATATATTAAATCCCGTGAGGCGACCTACATTCGCGATAACAGTACTAGGGTGACGGTTACAATGTTGAGTACATTACACTACAGAGCGATAAAAGCCGAGATGGCCGCATAAAGTGCAACCTTGACATTGGGCGGCTGAAGTCCTCAAATCGATCGTCTGTATCTAAACAAAAGCATCTCTGGTTACCGACAATAATAGTGCCGGGCCGATGAATGAACACATTAGGCGAGGCGAGGCGCGGGCGGCGTCATTACGTGCCCCCATTAATCACTGCAACAATCGGCCGATATCTCGCTATTTACAAACGCGGGAGCACGTGTACCGCGTACTACGAGCCACGCCGAGTGTATTGACCCATTTAGATAGCTCGACCTTCGCGCGGCCATTGTGAGCGAAAAACATAAAAATAAGTTTTATTGCGGTCGCATTACGCGTCGGCCCGTCCGTCACAACGCCACAACGCCTCTCCGAACGACAGCTGATCGCTACGTGACATTTTTATTTTATTCTCCCTTCCGGGGCCGGGGCTCCTCGGTACGTGCCGATGACGTCATCACCCGCGTGCCAGTGACGTCACTATCTGCCCGCCGTCTGATTTATTGTCTTAAAGATCACAGCGAACTCCGACCGGTGGATTGGAGTGATTTATGCATCGGGCGCGCACTTCATCTTGGAACGTCACTCTTAAAAGATGAACGCAGCCGTCTCGATCCAGTCTACTTTGATATCTCAATTAAATAGACTCCTTCACACTTCATCATATTTAAATTTCTTACTATCTTACACGTTAGTTGTGAACTCAGAACATTTCTTAACAGTATGAATATTAGTTGACGTACTATCTGACAACATCGGTGTACGTCCCGCTCGGACTGTATGTACGAGTATATATATAATGAGACGTGTGTCAAGTGGTAGATCCACATTCCTCATTCACCGCTGTTAAAGGAAGCTCAAGTGCTCACAAAAACTCCAATTTTCCCTTTCAATGCATCAAGTGTTAAACGTGCATCACAACAAACAGGGCCACGTTACGTCGACTGTAAACAATGCGTTTCGGGAATTCCCTTGCTTTTTATGCGGGAACACATTCCTTAGGGATACCGTTTGTTTGTTTAAATGGCATTCATTTTTTTCAACGTCACCTTGAAATACGTCCGTAAATCACGTGACAGACAAACAGTCATATGAGCTTGAACAAACGTTCACTCCGATATAAATATATACACATAATACTTTTGTTCTAAAAATCAAACATATATACTTATATGAAATAATGGGAAAATACCAGGTTTTTTTCTAAATAATAGTTTAATTAAATATAATTTAAATCCACCTGTAAACAAGTGCAATTGATAATAATGAATATCAATAATATAAGAGATTATTTGTAAACGGTACAGTGGTGATATAAAAAGCTCTGTGAAGTCGAAGCTGCGCCAGCTAAGAGAACAGGATGTCGGACTGGTTGACGCACACAGGCGCACGCGCACACACACACACACATACACACGAGCACATGCACGCACACATCGACCAACGGCCTCGCCAGTCGCCGCTCACGGAAATGTGCGTGCCAGAGACTGCCTTGGCGCTCTCCGAATAAACCCAAAATATATTCTCGCTAAGGAAACAACGAAAATCAAATACTACAATCACCAGGCTCTGATGATGAAATAAAAGAAATAATTTAAGGTTATAGAATATATAGTTAAAATAATTGAATAGCGTTCAAACAATGGACATAACGGTGTAGAAGGCTTTAGTATCTAATCTTTGATCACCGATCACCTGTAAACGAGAGCCAGCCCCATGAATGGAGCCCGGTACCCCGTCACGTGCGTCTTACACCGGGAGGAATGTTAATCGCAAATCGGTCATTCAATGGACTACAATTCGATATCGCAAATTAACTCTTCACGCTTTAGAAGCTCATGAATGAACAGCAAAAAATACTACATGAGGCATTCGTAGTCGTTTTTATATTGTACTGTTAAAAATACATCGAACAGGCTTCGAAGTTTCTACACTGCCACGCGAGCGTAATATTTTTTTCTGATAAAGAAACGCTCGCAACACGGCTGGAATAAAAGTATATAATAAATATGTTCTCTATAATGATAAATTGAATTTGCATTTTCTCTTTCTGTAGCTTCATAATGAAGAGCGGTGCCGGTCGCTCTCTGCCCCATTTTATAGTTAACTATAACATAGCGTTCGTCGAAGCGTAGGTTGCTGTAGCGTTAGATACACTCGGACGGCCGCTACGCGATGTTATTATACTCTGCAGCTGTGTGCGTCCCTTCACGTGCACCTCACACACACAGGCGCAGCCTGGCCCCCCTCCCCCCTCGCCCCGCCCGACTGCCGTCAGCCCCTCGGTCGACCCGGTCTCCCCGCCGCCCCGCGCCTCACCCCCGCGCCGACCCTCGCTCGCTCGACAACGATATGGCTTAGCGCGTTGTGAGGCAATGCCGTGCCGCCATCTATTCGCTTTTTCCAATGCCATAGAAAGTTCGTTCGACTCGCCAGTCGCCCCACCGATCGAACTTTTCTGCCTTCTGACCCCTACATCGTCGCTCGCTTCGATACCCTCGTTTTACAGTCACATGATGTGCTCGGTACACTTCTGGATCTCTCATATGTCGAAGTATTCTCATCCGCTCCCGGCATGCTTATAAAATACCTAATAGTCATTCGGCGTCGGTGATAAAACGAACGTCGGACGTTTCCCAGTTTCGAGCGAACAGAACGAGCGACGCGACGCGCATCAGAAAAAGAACTTTACGACAAGATTAGAAAGAGCGTTCGGAGCGGCAACGTCGCACGGCCACGTTCCAAGCTGCGGAGCGGCAACGCGGAGCGGCAACGTCATATACTAAATTTATTTTCATGAGCGCCAGCGCTGGCGACGGCACCGCTATATTGAATACTATCAGAATTCTCTTCCATTAACACGCTCGGTGTTTCTCCGCTGCGAGCACACGGGCAACCTTAAAACGTTTGAAATGTATCAGCGAAGGGTTCGCCATGCGCTGTGTTTCGTTCGCAGCGAACAATGGATGTCGGAACGGTTCATTTTCCTCGCAGCGATAAACGGGTGACGCAAAATGATTATTTGCAGCGTTGCGATGAGTGTCCGCGCTGACTCAAGCCGCGTCGCCCTCTGTTTGAGCTCGATTCTCATTGCACACTATCTTTAACGATGAATGCAACGTCTTGAAATATTTCCACCGGTCCTATGTGGCCATTGGACTTATAATAAGTATGTTAGGGAACGGCCTACATTCTTTAAGAGTTAGTTAACATATTCTAATGTTTATCGTATTCTATACAACTATATAAGTTTAATGTAAAGGAACTCGGTAGAGTTGTTTATAATCGTGTGCCACCTAATTGTGGCGGCAGGTGTAGTGGCATCTGCTACGGTCTAGTTGATCTTTTTTTCGAGTGAAGTCCCGTTGGATTACCTTCGCAAAAGGCAGCATTTCCTCACCCCGGGTTTGACCGCGCGATGTTTAACAATCATATTAGTAAAGGGCTGGCTTCTAACACGTTATGGAGTGCCAGCTGTTATTAAGATAAACATCTGCATTCTTCTCTTTAAATTAATGTGTCTTCGTTCTATTTTAAGAAAAACAGAAGATAACTTGCCTTAGTCTTTCCTCCTTCAGTGTTTCAGCACTGAACCCCAAACATTTTCTTCGAATCTTTTGTTAATTGACGACGTTACAATCTTTTGTGTTTCATACAATTCCTGTGAAGAATGCGAACATATTGTAGGGGCAAATCCCACAGTCGTGTTTGGGATCACGGTCTCTTTACCTGGCCCGTTCAGTGTGGGGTGGCTCCCCGGGTGCATATTGTGTCCAAAAAAAGGAAGGGTCTCACAAAGCGGGTCGGGCTCAGGTATCTGACGTTTTTAAAACCGTATCTTTATATTATCTGAGGGCGCCAATTTTGTTCTTCTTATTCCTATTCTTCCGTCCTAACATGAGACATGTTCATGTGGTGTTCTTTAGTAGTTCGTTACTCGGTCTCCGTTAGAACTGTATCTCGATGACAGCCCTTTTGAAGTATATTATATCAATTACTTTTGTCGAACAAATGTTACAAAAGGTTATTTTCAGCTTGTTTCTAGTAGAGTATTTAGAATATAGGTATTCCGTGCAAAATTTTCTAAAGTATGTAATTTTGTGTTGCAGGGCTCGGGCGGCGGGTGCGGCGCCAAACGGCGCGCCGGCTCCCCGTGCGAGGCCGGCGGTAAAGTCGCGCGCTGGGAGGACTCCATAGCTCGGCTGGAGGCGGTGGCCGCGGGCGCGGGCGGCGGGGAGTGTTGGCGGGCCGAGGACGAGGAGAGGCGGGCCTGTCGCCGGCGGTGGTGCGGCGGCTGGTGCGGCGCTCACGACACCATCCGCGCGGAGAACGGGAAGTCCTACCTCGAGCTGGGGGGAGCCGCCGCCCGCGCCTGCTGCGACGGACGAGCCGCCGGACGCTGCGCCTCCAGGCGCTGCTACCGAGAGAGACGGCTCAAGATGATGAACCTGTGCGCGCTCAAGCTCGCGCGCTTCAGACAGACCGCGGACCCTTCGCTGCGGCGGTCCGTGCTGGTGTGCAACACGCTCAGGGGCATCGAGAGGGAGATGGAGCGGGAGAGCGCCGAGGAGACGCCCGCGCCGCAGGAGGCCAGCGGGCCCGCGCTGGGGCTGGGCGGGGCGGCGCGCTGCGAGCTGCTGGGCGCCCGGGAGCCGGCCGCGGGCCGCGCCACACCCTTCCCCGCGCCCGCCGCGCCCGACCGGGACTCCGGCTACGGCGACGAGGAGCAGCGCACCATCGACTGGGGCTCCGTGCTGAGCCTGTCGTCGCGCTCGGCGCTCGACCCGCCCGAGGACGCGTGGCCCGACGACTGGGGCTGGAGCGAGGACAGCTTCGTGCGGCTGCTGGTGCCCACGAGTTAGTGGTCGGCGCGCGGGCAGGACGCGCCCGCGCCGCTCTGAGCGCCTGTGATAGCGGGCCGGGGCTCGCCCGCCGCGCCAGCTGAGGCCGGCGCGCGGTCGGCGGGGCTCGTCCGCGCCGCCCGCGCTTCATCTAGTCGGCGCCACGCCGCCACAGTCACTAGTTAGTGTTATGTGATTATTACTGGGAAGGTGCTAGCTTCGGACGACAGCGGGACTTATCGCGAGCCGAGTTATTTTTGATAGTTTTTTTTCTTTAAGTGGACGATGACGGAGAGTGGAGTGACTTAGCCGAAGACCTTGTCGCCGTTCCTACGGAGACTCGTGTTTGAAAATTTTGTTGAAATTATTGTGTAATTGATTAATTAAATATATGCTATATTTATTACGTTGAGAGAGAGAGAGAGAGTTGTGGTGATTTAAAATTATTTCTGTCTTGATATTTTCTATCTGATGTATTATCTATGACGGAGCGTGACTGCTGGTGGGTTGTATAAAGTCTAATGTAAACTACTGCCGGTGCCAGTGCCGGTGCCGGTGCTTGTCAATGTCATCTTCATAGTCTTCAGTGTGTCAGTTTTCATTAAACTCCTTGACCGTAGGATCTCATATCTGGTATTAACTCGCGACCTTAGTCAGACTAGTGTGGACAAGTGCCGAACGGTCTAGCAGCCTTGCAGTATTAGGTTGCTCTAACAGAGATTATATCATTTTAAATAAAATGTACTTACACGTATGATGAACTCGTTTCATCGGAGGCTTCAGGCGCTGAATCGGGTGTCAATTAACCAGCCTTATCGCCACGTAATATGGAATTCATATCGAATCATGCCTTGCATTCGGAAGTTCACATTTAGACATGATTCATATCATGTACAAGGAACACTCGACACATTTCACTGACGGAATTGTTAGAAAAATCCGATCCGACGACCACCATCCGGGACGATCCATACAAACATAAAATTAAGGGCAATAGATCGTTTATTAAATATAATATGGAAAATATATAATTTTTAATGGTATTCTCTACTAACAGTTAAATGCAGTTCCTAATATGTAATGTGTTATATTATTAAGATATTAAACATTATTTCATCTATGTCATTTTAATTTTGGTACTCGTCGGATGGTCGTCGTTGTTCGGGCTCCATCGAAGTTTTAGAGTATAAGTTAAATAGAATGCAATGTGATTTGAAACATCGGAATGATTTATCATTACAATAGTGTACAACCCGACCTCTCCGGGGAGGTGTGACGAGTGACGTCACCAATAGATACGATGACGTCACTCGTCAACGTTAAAACCTCGCCGGCGATGTCGGGTTGGTTATTCCGCGCGAAACGGGAGCCGAAGACTCCAATTACTATCGGTGCCTGTAATTACTCAGCCTCGCCCGGCACTCTCGTCATTGCGGACAAAATTAACCGATTTGTTAGACGAGCTTAAAGGTTCTGTGTTATTGACATCGAATGTTTTAGAATACGTATGAACCGATTGATTTCGTTCGTAAAGATCGCCGATATTAATTGGTATCGCAGGTCCCGTGGACGCGCCGCGGAGACATGGACCAAACAGACCTACCCAGCACGACTTTTAATAGGTTAAAGTACAAATTTCAATAAAAATAAAGTGCTCCGGCGCATGTTTGTCCACCGTTGTCAATTACTCAAATATATGAATTGTGATTCGGTAGCTAATGAGATAAAAATGAAACAATGTTCTTAAATGTAGTGTAAATATTATATACTGAGTTGGGCATTATGGCGCGGTGGCCGGTGGCCGGTGGCCGGTGGCCGGGTCTCGTGATCGCGGCGTGTACATACAGTTGTATCATTATAGTTATATTGATCGGTGGGCGCTAGCTCTGCCGCGCGGCGTCGCCCGTCCCCGTCTCGTAATTAACGACATCTGTTCTGTCCAATACGCTCGTACAGATATACAAGTAACATAATTCTTTGTTTTTTATATGATAGTATGTCACAAACGTTGCCAGTACATTTCTTGAGGATGCCTAGTTAGTTATAATGAATGGGTTTTAAACTCGTACGTAGTGTAAGTAATGCACTGGACGTCGGTTCAGTTCAGGACTCTTCTTCTTCCGAACGGATTTCTTTGCATACTTCTCTATATAGATGTATTTTGTTTTCCGTTTCTTGAACTTGTCCGTATGGTTGGTTGTGATGGTTTACTTAAGTAAGTTAGCGAAATATGGGTAAATGATTCTATTTGAAGTTAATATACTTACTTACACGTTTGTACTAAAAATTTAGCCTACATTTTTATATATCTGTTGCACGGCGCCAGCTATCGAGCATTTTTTATTGAAATGTACTTAAAAGTAAATTAATTAGACGTGACTACAATTAAGATTTTTGTTTTAAGTTAAAATTACCTTGACTGTACCAATTAGATTAATGAAACGGCGGCGCTTGCAACACATATATGATATATCATATGCTTGCAATTATGTACAAAATGACAGATATAAATAAATAAATAATAATAAAAAAACATTTTTCTACATTACATAATCTATCCATTACATTAAATGTTTTTTCTTGAAATACCTATTATGTATGTGAAAAAAAATAATTGTAAATTTATATATATGTATCGTGCTCAATATGGGACAGTGGGTGCGCGTTCTGAAGTTTGTCTGTCAAATTTTAATATGATGTACAAATAAGGGGGTATTTAGTGTTGTGAGGGCAGCAATAATAGTGAGCGGCGGATCGCGCTTCATAGAAGGGCCTCGGCGACATACGTAACATATAAACATTTCTAAGTGTAATTCTCTTAGTGTCTTCATTGCCATTGGTTACCAAAAAACAGGATGACAGGATGTTTTATTATATTTTGTTTGTTATTAAACTTTCTTGTAATATAGATGAGAATACTCCCGTTTGATGGAAATTGTAAAAAAACAATTTTGAATAAAACTGTGTCATACATCGAATAGTTATTTATGCGTTCCTCATGTTAAGAGTTGTTCAAGATTGTTTCTCGTATGTTCTAATGTAAGATATATTGTAATATAATTATTGTTTAAGATGTTGTGTCGAAAATAACAAGAACAGGAATAATTTTTGTGAAACAATGGCACAAAGAATTAACATAAATATTATATATATTATAGAAACAGAAATGTGTCTATAAGAGCAATTTTTATAATAAATATTTACTGTTGATGAAACAAGAGACTTTCATTTGAACTGAGATCCCCACTCGGAGCGTTACATCTAAAACATATTGTTATTTAAACAATACTACAAAGAACCAATTAAAATGATATTCCATATAAAAAACTATCAAACACTAAAATTTTGAATTATTTTCCTTTCAATTTGAGATTTATACGCTGTTAAATTATTGTCATAATAAAATACATTCATAAAAATCATAAATCATATAATATCTATTTATTAAATGCAATACAGTATTACGTACATCTTAGATATTTAATTTGTGTCACCGCTTGTACCCTGGATGCCGTGAAGAGTCCTCTTGTGTTTCCACATATCACCTGAACGTCTGACAAAATAACATTCATTACAAATCATTTAAATGAGAATTATAAATCATACCAATTACGACTAGTAGTGCCATCTATCCATCTCACTTGTTACTAACAAAAAATTCGTATACATTTTAAAAATTTAAAATCTTTTATTACTTTTTATAATGAATGAACAGATATACATGAAATGAATAAGAAATTTAAATAATGTCTTATGTAATTAGTTATTAATTCATACACACAAAATAAATGTATACGATGAGGCGTTGAACGTAGAATCATCTTAAACAGTCCGTTAAAAGTCAAGGTATTAAAGTCAGTCACATTGTTAACTGCGCTGACTATTATTAGTAATAAGATTCCAAGTAAGATTTGCCTTCAGCGTTTTCCTTCACCTATTTATTATATACAAGGAACAAATTTTAATTAATTTTAACAGTTAGCTACGTCAAAATAGACGCTTAGAATAAAGTACTCAAGAAACAAACATTTATCAGGGAGTTTATGAGGATCGTCTATAAAATGCATTTTAGTGTGCAAAGTGGGTGTTATGGAGAATAGGTTTCATATATATTTGTAGTTTGGGTTTTAGATGGTATTATCGTATTAATTGGCTGTATGTTGTCGATCTGTGCGTCGTTACCTGAACGCGGTGCCACAGACGTCACACTCGTGAGGTTTTTCCCCCGTGTGTATGAGTGTGTGGACGGTGCGAGCGTACGGCCGACGGAAGGCTGCTCCGCAAATTTCGCATTTGTACGGCCTGGTTAATGCAATACATAATATATGTAGATGTTATATAAAATAAATGCACGTTTTATACTATATATAATATTAATATTATGACTTACAACGGTATAGCACAAGGCGGTTTATGCCGTCGTATACAACCTTCATAAAAGTAGAACCGGTCATCGTCAAGACGGCGAATAGCTTCAGAGAGATTTTACTACTCGCTGATCACTATCTCGAAGATAGTTTTAATAAATTATGCATAAAAAAAATATTTTACCCGCACTGAGAGTAAATATTATCCGTTGGGAATGTTTATTATGGTGACTTAAAATAAGTTTGATTACTCATAATAAATAACTCTTTGGTGGAGATCAAGAATTAAGAGGCATCCTTATAATTACGCGAGCTTTTATTACCAGTTCACTGTGATGAAATATAAAGCGGAATGTCGAGTTTTACATACACTAACGCCATCTATGCGCGGAGAGTGGCGTTAATTTAAAATTGAAGTCGATAACTTTGTTGTTTGATATTTGAAACAAAAGAATTATATTTTATTTCTTTCCCAGTATGGATAATATATCGAGTGTATGAAAGTTGAGATCGTTTTCTGTTTTTCTTGACCTAAGGGTGACTACAAAAAGCAGCAACGAGGGACCGTTTAACATGCCCTTCGAAGCAAGAAGCTCCACAATTGTTCACAGTTTTTTAATGGTCAATGAATACTTCAATTATAATAGTAATAGAGGCTTAACCAATTTAACAATACTGAATTGAAAAAATCTTTTACTTAATATGTAAATGTAAATTAAAGAGCTATCCGAATTCGATAATCTTTTTGAAACAACGAATATTATTTTTCGAAAATCGAGACGAATATATAAAACAACTAAAATTTGTGATTAACGAGTCACAAAAAGAAATCTAAATTGAGATTAACGTACAAAAGCATGACGTCATAGTAAATTACGAGTAAAATGTACATATACCTAAAGATATATTATAGTGTGTTATAATATTAAAACAAGCATATTTCTTTACAAGTATTTACGGCGTAACTGAGGTCTCCTGTCATTTATCTTAACCCTCGCGATGCGTTCTCGTCTAGTGATCATACAATTTAGTTTTTGTGAATATTTTTATACTTTCATTGTTTTAATTATTAAATATAATTACTGATAATCGCGGTAGATGGCGCTAAATATAAAGTTGTATTGGAAAATCGGCTTAAAATCAACCGATGTGTATCGAGTTATAACATTTGAACGGTTTTTATGTATGTATAAACTAATGTAGTTGATTCGTGGGATATAAAGAAACTAAGAGTTTTAAATAACAAGTTTATGTGACAAATTATTATAGTACACCCGATGAAATCGTCTTTTATTTATTGATATTTGATATAGCTTTTTACACTTAAGTAAAAACAGACATAACGAAAAACAAAGTCACTTCATCACAACCTTTATCTAAGTGTTGGATATGGGAGTGACTATGGAGTACTTGATAACAATATATAATCCGTAGTATAGTATAGTAATGTATAGTACCTTTGGTCCGTGTGTATCCTGGCGTGTTCCCTGAGCCTGGCGGCCGCGGTGAAAGTTTTACTACAAGAGGTGCAGGCGAAGGGTCGCTCGCCGGTGTGAGTACGGCGATGGTCATCACGCTCCACCTGTATATACAAGGACGATCACTATTGATATACAGGTATATACACCTGGACATACAGATGTATACACCTGGATATACAGCTATATACACCTGGATATACAGAAAAATACACCTGGATATACAGGTATATGTACGACTTAATCGAGGTGTTGTTATTATTTGTTTTTAATGTCCTTAAAGCAGTTAGTTTTAATCAGAGGATTCTTCCTCTATGATTGTTAAGGAGGTCGCGTGTTTGAAGAACAATGGACAAAAAGTGATGGTTGTCGATAATGTTGAATGATTCTGTTTGTTGTGAAAGTATGATAGTAAATTGTAATTTTTAATATTTTTCATTTATTGATCTAATAAATATATCACGGATTCTACGTACTAACATACAAAACATCAAAATATTTGCGCTCCTCAACATACTAACTATCTTGTTTATATGTTTTTATATGTAGTTACTGAAATAATTTAAATTTCCTTTAAATTATAATACTTCTTTATATACAAGTGTGTTTAAGTTACACTACCTTAACTTTGAAGGCCTTATCACACAGGTCGCACGGGTAAGGCCTTTCCCCTGTGTGCATGCGCATGTGTATCGCGAGGTGACCGCTCTGGTTAAAGCGTCTCCCGCACACTCGACACGGATAGCCCTGTGGGTGATTCACTAATACTAGGGAATATATTTTTTGGTATTTTTATATAGAGTTATAGAAATCATTATGGTTAGTATGTATTGTTCGTAAATATATATTTTTTGAGTATACAATTTTTTATTCTTTAGCATAAGTATATAATACGTAGTGAGAAAAACATTGAAAATAAAACCAAGGTTCAGTGACATTTCCACCAACAGAGACCTGATAGTCGTAATCAAACAATGGGCTATAATTTTCACACCGCTGTTTTAAATTAAAAATTTAAACTTAACAACTCACTGGCTTAGAAACTTTGTGCATCTTTTTATGTGTGTGCAGGGCGCACATGCTTCCCAGTACTTTGTCACAGTCTTCGCACACGTACGCCGTGAGGGGGGCGCCGGCCGGGCGGTCCTCGCCGCGCTTGTGTCGATACAACTCCCTTGTTTAACAATAATTATAACAGTACGTTTAATATTTATATTGTATTTAATTAGAGACGATTCAGTTTTATTATTAGTTGGCGAATACTCGTTTAATGTGAAGCCGTCGCTTTACATTAGTTATGAAATATAAATACGGAGATTGACGCTATAAAGTTAGTTTAAATATATTTCAGAGAACATTTTTCTTTAAACCTTCCTTCCTAATGATGTATATATATTTTGAATATAAATAAAACTCAGCCTAAAAAATGCTCTATCTCTAATTATAAGAAGTCATTGATCATTATTATAAATTATAAGTCATGTTAAAATTTTCAATTTTCAATTCATGTTGAATTCCTATAACGTTTTCTACCTAGCGGTCGTGAAGAGCTGGTTGCATGATCCACAGTTCCACATCTTGTTCGTGTTCCCGGAGTAGGGGCGTCGTCTGCGAGGCTGACACTGCATCATATGAGTCCTTAGTTCCTCGCTGTTAGCACATTGTCTCCCACACACACCACACGGGTGTTCAGATACATGAGGAGCGACTGATTCCATGATAGGATTCTCCTGGTAATATTATACATAATGAGGTTTAAGACTTTGAAGTATTAATTTAAATGAAACTAATATTTTTGGATTACTACACGATAATCACATCTCGTCTGCCCGTAATCACGGTAGCTGCAAAGTGTAAAGTGACCGAAACGTCAGGAGTATGTAGTTTTTAAAAATAATAAAGTACGGGAAGTAATCCCAAAGTAAAAGTTTCATTTAAACATTATTATATGTGACGGTTTTTTTCTTTAGTATTTGAAAAACTATAATAGTCACAAATAAAAAAAATTAGTAAGAAGAATATTTTCCGAAATTTACCCATGCAAAGCAATATTATATTAATAACTTAGGATAAGCAAAGATCTAGAAATAAACAATATTTTTTCATCATAAATCCTTTTTAAGCTTAACACGAATACTTATAATTACTGTTATAAGAAGACAATAGATATTTATGAAGGATCCAGTAAAAAAATATTTGTTATTGTTTGAGTGAAAGTCATGAAGAGAATTATTATGAAAATAGAAACTTTATCAAAAATTAAGTCAAGAAATAAAGACTTATTCGTAGTTACAAGTATGTAGACTATACATTTAAATAATTTTAAATTTTCTTCATTTCACCTGCCCGTGATCACGATTATTGATAAGTAATCAAAACGTCAAGAGTACGTAGCATTTTGTACAATCAAAAATACGCGAAATAATCCGAAAATATTAGTTTTATTTAAATGACTATTCGTGAAAGCCTTTGATGTTATTAGACTATTCATTAATTCGTAACTTTAATCCACATAACGAGGAACATATCATATAACGTGTAATAACCATTAGTATAGGATAGTAATCTTCATGTGCGAAACACGCCAGTCGATGTCTATCCAAAGCCTCGCCGTTAGCGAATAGGTAGCTGCAGTAGTCACACACAAACATGGTAGCCAACCTTCGTAATCCAATATTGCTTCCATCTCTCGTTTCCGTACAGCATAATAATTCTAAAATATATATAATTCAGCTATAATAAAAACCTTTATATCAAACCCACCCACTGGCAAGTTTCACTTGCTTTTAACATTTGAAGTAAGTAGATACGTCAAACAGAAATCTATATTCTATATTTACACCCAATGAACTCAAAGAACGTATCTATCTTTGGATATCTAATAATAAACTTCATATAAATAGTGAGTTATAAATAACAATGAACTAAATCATTAATATCTACGTTAGTTGTAGATCATGTAAGTAAAATAATATTTGGTATGATTGTTGAATCATAAACTAACATAAATCGCATCCCGTAAGTTTGCAGCGCGAGTGAATCTCGATTCCTACTCGTTTCTAGTGTGTAGTGTTCATTGTTTCATATAATCCGATATATCTCATTAGGCGCAGGACATATCTGTGTCAATAGTTCAGTCAATCTGGCTAATTACTCACCGCGGGGCTGGGAGTCTAGCGCGGTTGACAACACACGCTCGCACACGTCACACACCAACCATTCACACTCGTAACTACATTCTGAAATAAAAACATTTATTATTATCTAATATTAATTTATTCGTATATTTTTCTTGTTCTAATTATATAAAGATTAGTTTTTTTGTTATGACATCAATCATAGCCTAAATCTTATATCTTTCGCAGATTTGTGGGAGGAAATAAATGTATTTATATATTTTCATATGAATCAAAGATAAATTACCTTTAAAATGTCATTACAATTGTATGAATAGACAATCATTTTAAATATTTTGTTTGTTTATAATAATAATCTTAATTGGGGTGTATGTATTCAAATATATTTGATCACATAATAAACCTTTATATATGCAACTCGAGTACACAAAGCCGAAAAGCTAAATGGAACACGAACAAGGAATTATATTAATGAAGCCATGTCATTTAAAAAATGTTAGTAAAATTGAACATCTCTATTTATTTACATAAATATCTCAGTATCCGGATTAAGTCCAGTTTGTCCGCTCAGTATAAGTAATAAGTTTCTGCATGCAATTTGCTGACCTATTTTATAAAGTGCACACAGAGCAGCGATTCTCGTTCTTTTGTCGCCCAGCAGTAGTACGGAGTCGGGCGTTTGTAGCAGAAATGAGAGAAAATCAAAGCATTCGACCTAATTGCATTCCTGGACTCTGCTTAGTTTTTAACAGACGTAAGAATTTTTTGTATTAATTTTCAATGAATGAAATTATTATTATGTTTTATATTCATTTAGATTGAGACTACTATAAATGTGAAATACTTATAGCAACTGAAAATGTTCTTGTCTAAGCCATGAAGTTTTTTTTAACAATATTAATCTCAAAAGACGGATCCTATCTCATGTCAAAGTCGTGAATATTAATTCTAACGTTACCAAAATGATAATATACATCAAGTTACTTAACATTCACCTTGTGTATCATTATGTTCTATATTCGTCGAGGTGCTCGGTTCCTGATCTGATGTAGGAGCGGTTGCGTGCACGAGAACCGTGTGGTCCAGTAGCTCAGCATCCGTCGTGAAGATCTCATGGCAAATAACACATGAATGTAGAGCGAGTAGGTCCGGACCGGCTTCTGGCTCCTAAAATAACTTTAACTTGAAACCATGACTAAAATTAATACGAAAAAAAAATCAGAATTGAATCTTATTTTGTAACATCTTATTAAGTTGTATTTGTTTTAACGATTGAATAAATTGAGTAACGATTAAATAATTTTAAGTAATAAAAATTTTATATTTATAATAGTCAAATATTTATTGTGAGGACTCCCTTAATAGTTTTTTTAATATTCGATATATTTTCAGAAAGAATTTTAAACATGTAATCACATATTATATCAATATATAATTGTAAGAAATTTTTATACTAAAGACGGGATGAAATACATAATATATTGTTGTTACTTGATAAATTTAAAATAATCCTATCCAAAGTCAAAGTTCTCTATTTCAAGGGAGAGGAAATTAATTCATGAAATATGGACAAAGAGATTCCTATATACGATAGGTGTAATTATTGATATTTGAATTTGGAATCAACCTTATTAGCGGTATCCGAAGATTCCTGAATCGGCAGCAGAAATTGATTGACCGTATTATCATCTAATAATGTAGGCTCGTAGTTGAACAAGTTTTCTGATTGCACAACATAAAGCTCTAAGTTTTGTTCGTCTCTAGTTTGGTCTACATTCAAAGTCGAGACAGTCTCAACGTTAAAAGATTTTCCTGAAATATTTGAATTGAACGATAGCTGATTTTCAACTGTGGATATTATAGCTTCCGTGACTTTTACTAGATCTTTGTCATTTGTTATTAGGTCAGAACCCATTGCATCGTTGTTAAAAAAAATATCGTCTGAGTTATAACTGTCACCTAGGGTGTCTGTTAATTCTTTATACGGGAAATCAGGTGGGTCGAACATCATTGTGTAATCTGAAAAATATAAAGCTTATATATTTCAAATCATATATTTTTATGGAATATTTATAATTAGTTATCTACTTTTAAGTTTGATATTATATATGAAAAAATATTTTTGAATTCCTCAAGAACAATTCTTTTATTAGGCTGTATGTGGTCTTAAAAACTTTTTACAATTAACTCAAAGGATTTACATATTACTCAAAGGTTTTTTTCCCTATGCTACGTCTTCATTTATAAGGTTGGTTGGTTGTTTTAAATATGGCAAATGATTAGTTTATATATTACTAAACATAAACTAGATGTCACTTTGACATCAAGAATATTTTGACTGTTGACAGTTGTTAGTTTTCGTTGTTGATAAACGAAAGCGGGGTTATTTTTAAAACTTTGAGTTTTTATAATAAGTTAAGATGAAGGTTGATGTACAGCCACCGGAAAAACCGAAAATCCCATTACCAACACTATCTCAAATAAATGCCGATAGAATAACTCTTGTAAGTATTAACGTTTAGGTTATATACATATAGGGTTTAAAATTTATACATTTTATAACATTTACTACCGTTTTGTACATAGAAATGTAGAATTTTACTGTTAAAGGTAATATTAAAATGAAATCACATCTAAAACTTCTGTCATTATTAGTATTATTTTCACTAAAATAATTTCAACATATTTTGCAACACATATATTTACTAAATACTAATATAAATCAATATTATTAAAACTTTAAATGTGTAACCAGGCTGACATATAGAATGACTGATTTTATTTATTTTATTTGATAGAATAAATTAAGTATAAACAATAATTACATCTTATAATTATCATTACATACAATTAGGTTCAGTTAGTTTTGAATGGATAAAGTTAAACTTGATAAATTTATAGTCAGTATTAACCTCAAATTATATGTAACCTCAAATCCAAAGTATATCCCAATGAATCGGAAATGTAAAACATTATACAACAACAAAAGTATTAAAAAGAAAGTGTAAAGTATGAAAATATAACATGTATATTACATATATACTAAACCATGCAATAGGGTCATATCAAAATAGTCATACATGAGATCTGAATGGATTTAAACATAATTCCATCATGTAGGCCGTTTTTATAAAGACCATGTAGCCCACTGGTATTTTCATAACTATGAAATCTATGTAACTATCCTCATTGAATTTATATATTTTGTCATTTTATTCAGTTAGCTCAACAGTACTGGTCTCCGCAAACTAAAGAGGAACACTTACCTTATGATGCAGCTATCGTGGAGTCAATTTATCAAGCAGAGATCCTCGGTTCAAAGTAAGTTACATAAATTTATTTTCAAACATCACCCTTCAGTCTTGGCCTCATTGAATTTAACTGACTATTTCAGGGTCAATGGCCTTATAGAGTTTGTTGACCTCATTTTGTTTTTTTTATTTGCCAGCTTTTATGTTTTTAGTAATTATGATTTTTTTTATTATCTATGATGCAAAATATTTTTAAACAAAAAGTGCATCATTAATAAAAAAATAATAACAAAAAAATATATATATCAAGATAAATAAATTATTGATTTAATATAACATTAATTGTATTAATATTTAACATTATGGAGCCAGTGATATTATTTCATGTAACAAACAATTAGTTTTGTTATAAATAAAATATATAGGTCTATGAAATTTCTATTAAAACTCACTTATTTATTACTCTATTTATTAATTTATATTTACATCTTGTCTGCCCATGATCACGGTTGCTGCAAAGTACAATGTAGCCGAATCGTAGAAAGTATGTTGTTAAATATCCTTTTTCTTAATCACATGTTCTATATTTTTCAGTTTTGGTGTCCGTCGGATCATGATGTTAGAGTTTTCTCAATATCTTGAGAACTATCTTTGGCCACATTATGTGACGGGGGAGGCTACACACTCACATATGATGTCAATTATAGTTATGATCAATGAGAAGTTCAGGGAGAGGGTGCCGGCTTGGCAGGTATTTAGACACACACACACATATATATAAATATGTTGTTAATATATATATAGAAAGTGATGTTAATTTCAATTTTATTAATTATAAATGTTGGCCGACAGCTCCTTGAACATTTTATTTCTTGACAAGTAACCACAAGTGGCTCATTTAAGGAACACCAGGCTATTAGGAATATTAGTGAAGTGCTTTCTCATAGCCTTATCCACCTTTTCTTAGAAAAGTCATTTAACCCAACAGTTTCATAGTCCGGATTATATATAGATAATTAATTTATCCATTAATTTTAAATTGTATAAATTACTAGTCTGTTATATTGAATCTATATAAAAATATATTTATTAATCTTTTTGTACTTAACTGTAATGCATGTTTAATATATGAAACTTATTTATTTCACTTCTGAGATGAAATGTCAGTTTTACTTGATAAATTTATTTAATATTATTTACTTGTTTAATAATAATTTTCTATATTTCAGGCATTTCTCAAACAACCGGATCACTTCCCTGGTTTCTTTGAGCAAGTTTTAAAAGCAAGTGTATCAGATAGCAACCATATGAAGGAACAGACAGCATTGTTGTGTTTCTTGAACCACTGCTTTGGTAGTATGGAAGTACAACTTTGTAGGGATCAAGTGAAACGATTGGTTTCACTCAGTATGTGGATTAGTTTACAAGAAGGTTTGTTTTAATATCTTTCTGCTTGTTTCGTAAACAATAAATAAAGACGTATGAATAGAGCAATAATGTTCTTATTTTGTGGTCAATCTTGGGAATTTTGTTAATATCTCAGGTAGAAGAAACCAAGAATTCAAAGCTGTACCGAAATGGCGGAAATATTGGAGAGCTATACAAAAGAAAGATAAGCCTGAGTTGTTAGAAAAATTGAACTGGGAGCGGAGGTATCTTCAGCGGCTGATGATTAAGTTTATGGGGATCCTGGAGAGTATTCCGGAGACTGGTGATGTTAATGTTGATGCTGTTCGGTAAGTTTTATTAAAGAATCCATAGTTATTAAAATTGTTTAAACTATAAAAGAGTATATTTCTGAGGCAGTATGGATGAATTGGTGTCTGTTGCGCCTGCACATAGAAATTACTGAACAGATTTTAGTAAAATTATCTGTTGATATATCCTAGAGATAACAATAGTGATAGTTTTGGATGTTTTGGTACTTGGAGAGTTATTTGATATTCTAAAAGCCTGAGGCATTAATTTACAGGTAATATTCTCATTTTGACTCCAGTTATGATTATGTCTAATTATTAACGTTTGTTTGTGTTATATAGGTACTGCGAGAGGTTTCTTGAGCTGGTGATCGAGCTAGAAGCCTTACTGCCGACTCGTCGGTTCTTCAACACCGTGCTCGATGATTGTCACCTCGTTGTTCGCTGTCAACTGGCTCCGCTCGTCAGACGAACAGAAGGACAGCTGTTTGCACAGGTTAGTACTGACAACAACTATATATATATATATATATATATATATATATATATATATATATATACACAATATTAGTTTTCTTGAATTCTTTGAAATATTATTGTTTGACAATCGGGACTTACGATTGTAATACGAAATTTTATATGAGACCTTTTAATGTATATTATTAAGCTTAACAAAAATATAATTAGATGTATAGATACAAGTATTTGTATATTTGGAAGTCAATTAAAAAGGAACGTTTAAAAATATCTGTTTGTACTAACGAAATTTAATAGTCAATGGGAATTATTTGGTTTTTCGACTGTTTAAAATTGTAATTTCTTTTTGTACATATCTGTTTACTTGCTACGCCTTAACTCGTAAAAATGTACTTTGAATTTAATATAATTTATTACAACTTAAATTTAAGCTTTCTCTATTATGTATAGGCAAATGAGGATTAAAAAAGTCGCGTGTTAAATATTAAATCGAAAAAGTTTAGGCCGAAGCTGTTTTTTGTAATCAAATGAAGAATATTAACAGCAACTTATAACATTATACAGTTAATATTTGTTTAAATTATTATTAAAAACATAACAATTTAAGTGATTGCAAACCACGCCATCTAGGTGATAAAAATGATATCATAAAAAATCAAAATATTTGAGTGGACCATTAATTAGCTTAAAATGTTAAATTATTAATGTATATTCATATCGGGCCTATATCTTAGTTAATACTTTTTATGCGATTTACTTTTAATTGACTTAAGCAGTCTTTAAATAATTAATATATGGATCCAACTGCGTCCCATATTGTATAAACCAGATTTATAAAGTTAAAAAATATATTTACGTTAGCAATTTTATACAACAATGAAAAAGTAATATAATTAAAATTGCTTGAAATTTGAATTAATAACTTTTACACTTTCATTGGTATACATTTAGTTATAGAAAGGTGAATTTTTCGTATTAAAAATAACATTCGTTTTTGGTTGTGAAGTTATCTTTGTTATTTTCACAATCGAAGTATTGTGTGTCATAACCAATTCTGTATAACCTATGTCATTTTTTTATATTTTAATAACGTCAACAGTGTTTTGTTACATTCTAATTTCAGAATGCTTGAAGTTATAACTTAAAAAGAAAAAATATTGCAGAAAATGACGCCCTTGGCATTTCTTTTATATTTATATGATATAAATTAATTAACAGCTGGTAGCTTTCATTTATTTAAAAAGTATACTTTAAAAAAAATCAAAGTTATTATTATACACATATGGCACACTGAAAATAAAATTAGTATTACATGTATGATGTCAAATATATTAAGAAATAATTTAAATATATGTAATTCGGTCATAGAAATAAAACAGATAGTACAGTCACAAGTTTATTCTTCAAATGTCAATGCAATTAAAATAATGTGAAAGTGTGTAAAAAAAGTATAAAATGCTATATTCGAAAGCACAAAGTTATATCTAAGTATTATATTAGTGCAAGAGAGCAAATATTTTTCAAAAACTACAATCTAATAGCTGCATTTGTACTAGCCCATAAGCCTTTGAGATATTGGGACGGACAAAATGTGATTTTAGTCTTATAGCTTTTATGACACAATATATTTTAACATATATAACCTTTTATACAAATCATATCCAAAAAAAGCTATGTACACACTCATACAAAAAAACTGGAAAAAATTTAAAAAATACAAACTTAAAAGTAATCCGATTCAAATTCAAACTTTCAATTAAAACCTAATTAAGTAACATCAATGAGCATTTAAAATAAATTCAATATCAAAGTATATTTGGCTTACATTTGTGCTTAAAATATTCCAATTGATGTAAAATATTACTCAAATTAATTAATATAAAGTACTATACAAAGAGTATAACTTTAATAAATTCATTTCCTTATAGTGATTATAACCAATACAGTACTAAAGTTTTATAAAATTTAAAATTAGTCAATTGATATGGCCAGCACCTTTGAATACACCAATGCGAATGTAAATTCTTTAAGGCACAATATCACTCAATACATTTAAATGTGTACAACACTAATAGTATAACTTCATATAAACTTATACAAAGAGATTGTCTAATATACTAATGTATAGCAAAAACACTTGGTATATTCTAATAAATACTGCTAAGGTTGCGTTTTTAGTTCTTAGAAATGATTTTAATAATTTCCCCCATTCATATGAGTCATTTCATCTCCCCACTCGCCTGTTGGTATAGGCTCAGCGTAACAACAACTCTTTCTCAACAGAAATGTTACATGTGACTGTTTGACTACACATACATAGAATATCAGAATTGCCTGTAATAGATTGACCACTATATGGGCGTATAACAAGCCATCGAAATTTAGCCAGGACAATAGTAGAAACAGCCAAGCCATAGTCATTATAAGAAATAGCTGCAGGAACAGATCGAAACTGTAAAAGAATTAACAATATATACCTCATAAAATTTCATATTTAATATAACACAAACAATAAAAATCAAACTCACCATCCTTTCAATTTATAATGGATTCTTCCATATATATTTATCCTCTTAATAACTTTCAAAGTTGTTATATAAAAGAATAGATTGAATATGATAGTGAAAGCTATAGGTGTGAAGAATATTGCAATGCCCAGCCATCCTGAAAATAATATAATAAATAAATTACTACATACATATATAAAAAATATATATAATTATTATAAGAAAGTTAGATATTCACCAATAGTTTCTTGTTCTATGTCATCTACTAAGATTGATGATGAGAATTGTGTTTTCATTTTTCTGTAAGGATTTGTACCGGTGTCTAGCAGAAAATGTGCACAAATAGCCATACCAGCCATGAGCACTACACATGACCAAACAACACTTGAATAGTAGCAGTATTTACGAACATCCGTCACTCTGAGAAAGACATTTCGTGATCTGGAATATAAAAGCTCATATTATAAACAATTCCTGAACTCATAATAATCAAATCTTCACCAAAAAACCTATTTTATGTGAGGTTTATATGAAGAAACTGAATCAGTGTTCCTTTTAAAGACAAAAAATTGAAAGTAAAGAAGTACAAAAACTTCATTAATTTCTCTTATTGCTTACTTAAATGTCTTCCAGATGTAAAATCCGAAACTATTCAGCCAGAAAAAGGCACCCAGCAGACTGATGTAGAGAATTATATCTGAAAAAATAACTTTTTATATTGATTTCTGTTAAATTGACATGAGTAGGTTTAAAAGGTACATAGTTATGCATACCTGTGATCATAAAGCTGACGTGATTGCTAAATTCTGTGAATATTCTTACAAAATCAGCGGCCTGGCTCACAATGAGACATATATTGATTGTGGTGATTATATTTCCGGCCAAATCTCGTAATGTTGGCAAAACAAAGTATATTATAGCAACCAACAGAAATAGTACCATTGCAATAGCATGGAACAGTGGATTTAGCACCTTTTTCATTAAGAAACTGGTCTCTCTCCAATTAATCTTCACTTCTGGAACACATACCAATCCATATAGACCAGTGACATTTGAACTTGTTAGAATCTGAAAAAATATTATTACACAATGAATGTGTGATAAATAAAACTATACTGAGTATATTAACTTATGGGAAACACTTTAACAGGCTTATTAGTTAAAATTTAAAGGGAAGGACAAAATTTATACAAATGAATTTACCAATAATTTTACTTTTCATCATGTTTATAGAGATTAATTTAAAATAGTTTTAATGAAGTTAACAGTTATAATGAAATCTAGTAGTATTGTTACTGGAATGTAAAACAGAATTGTACAATGTTACATTAAGAAACAAAAGAATTCCATTGAATAATGCCAATTTTTATCTAAGCATTACATCCATTTATTGTTGAAGCTGTAACCTAAGTCATACAGATGACAATTTAGTATGAAGTAAAGAATAATTACCTTGTCCATACAATATTTGTTCTGATCATGATTGTATGATGATGGTTCTTTAACAGCCGGTATAACAATTGCCTCATGGATAAGTGTGTTTGTCATTAATGGGTCGTCTTTAACAGGATTCTCCCCATGTTCATGGTGTATAAGATGTCTCAATCGTCCATCGGATAAAAGATTCAATCTGAAATATTACAAAGATATATAACAATTATTAGGATTTTAAGTGATCAAATTGTTTGTGTTATTTTTCAAAACAATGATTGTTCTTACTCATCTTCAGATGTTCCTAAGTCAAATATCGGTCTTTGTTGTGTGGTCTCACAGTTTGGTACTCCGTAAATATATCTGAAATACTTTACAGTAGTATCTTTGCCATCTTCAGTTTTAAATTGAGGACTCCACACACCTACAAACAATATGTAATAAGTCTTAGTCAAGTTGACGCAATTATCCCAATCAAGGTTATGATTTTTTTTTGTTAGATAAAATGTATTTATATATTACTAGAAGACATTATTACCTCGAAACTACTTACTTTCATTATATTTTTCAGCCAGTCTACAAACCGAGTTGACCATAATCTCATTATGTTCACAACACTTGTTTATTTTCACGGAGTTTTGCTGTTCCGATAAATCGTTTAAATCTGTATCACCAACGTCGGCTTTAACGTAAAGTGAATGTAACGATAGTAATAGCATAAAACCAAGGCACCACATCTTGTACATTATATAAACTCATTAATTCATTCTAAAATTATATCTAAGTTAACTTGCCACGGTTATCAATAAAGTTTATAATGATTGCTGCTTATATTTAAAATAATACAATTAAATACATATTTTTTATAATCTTTTTTCAGCTACCAGTTCTTTGATATAAATAACATTGTAAAACCAATGAGTAGCGTATTTTGCTAACTAATCGTACCAGTTTTTTTGTTTGAACTGTGTTCAAATGACAAAACTTAAAACTTAGAAAACACTTAGTTCAGTTTTGACAAATGTCAAATGTATTGAGTGACATTTTACTTCTTTAAATACATAGACAATTGAAGGTCTGAATTATCTGACTAAAGGTACTGACACATGTTCAGTTTATAGTTTAATTTGGAAGAAATGCTAATTATTATTGTTTAATATTCAAGTCATTTTCCTTTCACGTGTGTGTATAAATCATTTTTCTCGTTTCCTAATTTACTGTCTCAAATGAATCACAATAGTATTTTTTTTATAAATTACAAATCGTCCGTACAATTTAGTTTGAGAAAGGAACAATATATATTTTAATTTCATGATTATTAAAATTTTCTTATTCAAATTAACGAAATAAAGCGTTTGGATATACCATTATTTTTAAGATAAATTAAAACTCTTATTGATAACTGTAAAATCATTTGTATTCGATGTTAAATAATATTATTGATTTCTCTGTTCACTCCACGATGTCCATTTTCCTGATAATTCTGCTTCAAAATCAACAAAGTTTTTTTTAATATTTATATAAACAAACATCGCGTCACCAGTTTTGTACACAAATCGATGTTTTTCCCTCCGTATAATTGCTATATATAAAGTTCGATCTTTTACTAACTAATAACACAGTTATTAATATATTTATTCTTCTAGTAGTCCTTACGTACTTCTTCATCTTACATTCACTTCTCAATAATCTTTAAAGTTTAGATAAAACTAATAAAATGTCTCTAATAGCAAAAAGTATTCAGGTCAATGAATGAAACAAATTTAACATTTTAATAATCATTACATTATTATCTCTAATAATGACATGCATTACAAAATCATTTTAACATAATATTTAATAATAATAGCACTCTGTATATACATTAAATTATTGTATGTTTTAACAATTCATATCTTAATTAATTATATTAAGACTAATCGCCATTGAGTCTAATTTATTCTATATTATGGCATGATAAGATAACAATTTCTTTAAAGTAATCTAGAAATTTATCGATATATATATATTGATTTTATCATACAATGTCTCCATATTAAAATTGTATAGTATCATATTATTATATAATTGTAATTCGGTCAATGTTAACCACATATCAATATCGCAATGTGTGCATTGAAAACAAAGCATTAAAGGACATTTAAAAGAGATTCCTGCAATATGATTATTCCTATTTGTATACCAATATATATTACTAATATATTAAGAAACTCTTTTCTCTCCTATTAATCTTCACTTCTGGAACACATACCAATCCATATAGACCTGTGACATTTGAACCTGTTATTAGAATCTGAAAAAAATAATGTATTACACAATAAATGTGTGATAAATAAAACTATACTGATAATATTTATTGTTGGGAAACACTTTAACAGGCATACAGATTAAAATTTAAAGGGAATGACAAAATTTTTACTTATTATACTTAATTAATAATACTTATATAAGTAGCATAAAATAGAATCAAATAACATTATAATAATTCTCATTAAGATATATGTAGAGTAAAATGTAAGAGTATAGAGACATCGGAACAAGAAACAAAAGAATTCCATTGAATAATGCCAATTTTTATCTAAGCATTAAATCCATTTCTTGTTCAAGCTGAATCTGAGTCACCGGTATGACAATTTAGTATGAAGTAAGAAATTACCTTGTCCATACAATATTTGTTCTGATCATGATTGTATGACGACGGTTCTTTAACAGCCGGTATATCAATTGCCTCATGGATAAGTATAGTTTTCATTAATGGGTCGTCTTTAACAAGGCTATCAACATGTTGATGGTGTATAAGATGTCTCAACCGTCCATCGGATAAAAGACTCAGTCTGAAATATTTAAAAAATATATACAAATAATTAGGATTTTAAACAACTAAATTGTTTGCATTATTTTTCATAACAATGATTGTTCTTACTCATCTTCAGACGTTCCTAGGTTGAATATCGGTCTTTTCTGTGTGGTCTCGCAGTTTGGTACTCCGTAAACATATCTGAAATACTTTACAGTAGTATCTTTGCCATCTTCAGTTTTAAATTGAGGACTCCACACACCTACAAACAATATATAATAATTCTTAGTTTACGAAATTATTTCAATCAAAGTTATGATTTGTTTTTATTAGATAAAGTATATTTATATATTACTTGAAGGCATTATTACCTCGAAACTACTTACTTTCATTATATTTTTCAGCCAGTCTACAAACTGAGTTGACCATAATCTCATTATGTTCACAACACTTGTTAATTTTCACGGAGTTTTGCTGTTCCGATAAATCGTTTAAATCTGTATCACCAACGTCGGCTTTAACGTAAAGTGAATGTAACGATAGTAATAACATAAAACCAAGGCACCACATCTTGTACATTATATAAACTCATTAACTCATTCTAAAATTATATCTAAGTTAACTTGACACGGTTATCAATAAAGTTCATAAAGATTGCTGCTTATATTACAATTAAAAACATATTTTTTTTAATCTATGTCTAACTATCAGTTCTTTGATATAAAAAACATTGTAAAACCAATGAGTCGCGTAGTTTTCTAACTAATCATATCAGTTTTTTTTGATTTAACTGTGTACAAATGACATAACTTAAAACTTTGAAAACACTTAGTTGAGTTTTGACAAATGTCAAATGTATTAAGTGACAGTAATTCATCTTTTTAAAAACATGAAAATTGTTCAGTTTATAGTTTAATTTGAAAGAAATGTTAATTATTATTGCTTAACTAGTAAACCCGGCGAACTTCGTTTCGCAACTAGATGGCTTCGTTTTATGTAAAATTTCGGTTTTTTATTGTTTTATATTCGAAAAGGAACAAATTTATTTCATTTCACAACAGTTCATTACTGTTTATTTCGAATACAAAAATGAAGTGTTATTTAGTTGAACTTCTCTAAGTAAATGAAAATGAATCCAAAGTAAATACTGAATCGAAGCGTTATAAGTGTTATAAGTCTTTGGTAAACCGCATTTTTTGTTTTTTGGTCTGAAGTTAACACAATCAAAGTGGATAGTTTCCCAACTCGGGAACACACAACATATAACTGCCCATGTGAAAAACAATGATTCTCTAAATTCATTCAAAAGGTTTTTAAGAGTTTCAATTACAAACAATACCGGTTTGTCTACAAACAATACCGGTTTGTTTGTTTGTGGTTTGTTTGTTTGTTTGTTTGTCACATGAAATAAACTGAGCAGAGAAAAATGAGTAGCTGTCAAACAATGTATCAAGCACCGGCGCCATCTATTTAAAATATTGATTTATAGACCATGCTATGTATCAGAGATGGCGCTGTATGCGAAAAAATATTCCCCCCTTTTCTGTTGAATTTTTCCTAAATTTTATTTGCTATAAACTTCACGGAGCCCAAGATCTTTCCCATAATTACCTAACCCTGGAAATCGGTTCATGCGTTCTGGAGTTATAACGTCAGGAAGGAAAACCGGTCTTATTTTTATATAGTAGAAGATATTAAATTTATTTTCCTTTCACGTTACTGTGTGTATAACTCATTTTTCTTTTTTACTAATTTATTGTCTTAAATCTATCACAATCTATTTTATAAATTATAAGTCGTCCGTACAATTTAGATTGAGAAAGGTAACATAGGTATATATATTTTAATTCCATTATTATTAAAATTCTCTTATTTTAATAAGCGAATTAAAGTTTTTTTGGATACACCATTATTTTTAAGATAAATATGAACTCCCAAATCATTATTATCACAGATATCATTTATATTCGATGGCAAATAATATTGTTGATTTCTCTGTTCACTCAACGATGTCCATTTTCCTGGTAATTGTGCCCCAAAATCAACATTTTTTAAATATTTATATAAACAAACATCGCGTCACCAGTTTTGTACACAAATCGATGTTTTTTCCCTCCGTATAATTTCTATATATTACGTTCGATCTTTTACTAAACTAATAACACAGTTATTAATATATTTATTGTTATAGTAGTCTTTACTTACTTCTTCAGCTTACATTCATTTCTACAAAATCTTTAAAACTAATAAAATGTCTCTAATAGCAAAAAGAATTCAGGTCAATGAATGAAACAAATTTAACATTTAATCATTATATTATTATCTCTAACAATGACATGCATTATAAAATCATTTTAACATAACATTTAATAATAATAAAACTCTTTATATACATTACATTATTGTATGTTTTAACAATTCATATCAGACTTCTATCTTAATTAATTATATTAAGACTAATCGCCATTGAGTCTAATTTATTCTATATTATGGCACGATAAGATAACAATGTCTTTATAGTAATCTAGAAATTTCTTTATCGATAAATATATTGATTTTATCATACAATGTCTCCATATTAAAATTGTATAGTATCATATTATTATATAATTGTAATTCGGTCAATGTTGACCACATATCAATATCGCGATGTGTGCATTGAAAACAAAGCATTAAAGAACATTTAAAAGAGATTCCTATAATTTAATTCCTATTCGAATATCAATATATTTTACACAATGAGAATTGACTTTTGTAAAATATACACCAATATTGCGTAACAATTTCATAGTTCTATTACAATCATATATAAACAAAGACTGTGAAATTGTTTGAGGTTTAATAGATGGTATAAAATTTAAATAATTTTAATTTAACCTAACTTCGACGGTATCATCCGCTAGTATTTGTTGGTCATCTGAGTCGTCGTGAGGACTCAGTTTCTCTGCTATGGGTCGTGTTATAAACAGACAGCAGTTCTCGCCTGCCAGACCTTGCATAGCTCGTCTTCGGAACACGACCAGAATCAGAAATATCACGATACCTTGCAGGCAGTTGAATGTGTCCATTATTTTCCTGTAAAATAATCAAAATTGAGATGAGTAAACTACATACAGATCGGAACAGGTTTTTGCGAGTAGTGTCTCGAAAATTTTAACAGTTTAAAATTTTATATCTTTCAATATGGAAGTAAAGTATCTTAAAAAATGATATTTACCAAATTATATGGGCCTCTCCGTGTGCGAAGCTAGCGATCTCAAATATCCATGAAATTCCCATGACAAGGAACAGCTTCAGGGACACTAAGAACCTAAAACCGTTCAAATTATTACCCAAGGCTTTGATTAAAACTTGTTTTTATAATTCTACCCAATATTGACCAAATTATGGAATTCCCAGAGAAAAAAATAAAAATGAAATATAAGATAATAGTACAGTGTATTTGACCTGTTTATCAAACTACGTACCTATGTTTAAGGTTATTTAGTTTATTGACTTCATATTTCCTGGTGTGTCTCCAGAGGTTGAAGGAAGATAGGACGAATAGGATCACGTTTGTAGCGATGAGAATAGCTATGGGTCCGTAGAAAAATATCCAAGTTTCTGTCCGTCCTAGAATAAAGGCAGCCATATAGTATATATTTAAAAATCTTTAGTGTTAGAACTTTTTCAAGATGCATTGATCTATTAAATCACGGGAGAAATATTGAATTAATCTTAATAAGTACTGTCGTAAATAGTCTGGGGTATAATTTAGCACTTTCTAGGCTTCTTTTTCTTCTTCCAGGCAATTTCCCAGCTTTAGCCAGGGTCTTCCTTACATGTTGTAAATAGTTTTGGCTAATTGTTTTTACGACCGGTCGCCTGACTGACATCAACCCTCTTTGGAAATGCATTAATCAGTGATGTCTAAATACTCTTAGAAAGTACATATGACTCGGAAAAATCACATTGGTACTTGCCAGGATCGAAGCCGCGCCCTCATGCATGAGAAGCGAACCTGTTAACCACTAGGCCACCACTGACTTTTACTACTTTCTAGGCTATCTAAGAATAATTGTTATAGGTTTCCTTTTTTCCTCTCACCTTTAAACCAGCAGCTGCCATCTCCAATTCCTGGCTTGTAGTGGCCCCCTTCCACGAAGTTAGTAATGAGCGATACTATGAGGAAGAAGATTGTAAAACCCCAAGCGTAGCAGTTATACATAAAGTACTGTTTCTTTTCTGTCTTCTTCAAGTAGCTTGCATCTCTGATGAAAGAGTTACATCATACATGGATTAGTTCTTACGGATTAGACTTAAAAGTCGATTTTATATTTCAAAATATTAATCTATACTCACTCCACGGTTCTGTACATGTTGATGCTTATGACGTTCATCCAGAAGAAGGTGGCCATCATCCAAAAGTAGACAAGGAAACCTAAAATACAATTTATATTATAAAGATACATATAATTTTCTATGAACCATTCAACATATATTTTTTACATGATTACCTGTTACGGTGCATATTTCACCCTTAAATCCAGGACTCAGCTGTAGTATCCCTAGTGATAAGAATCCCAGCGCCATGCTGACACACATGCTCATATAACAGACCCCTTGCAGATCCCTAAAAAGAGGTTATTCCTAAAGATAATTTTGTTTTGCCTTTGTTATTCCGCAAGTGACAAAGGTCACCATTATCGTTTATGGGTATATCTTTATACTAATGAATGCGATAACAAATATTTTTGTTGCATTTGCTTTGTCCATAATAGTTAAATAATATCCCTGTCAAATGAAATGTACTACATAATTCTTACTTAATATTCACACTTCCATCATTACTTATATTCAATTTTTATACTAATAAAATACTATTATACCATATACTTATCTAATTAGCATATGGAAATATATATTATAATGTTTGTATTATAAAAATAAGATTACCTCATTTGTGGCAAGTACATGTATATAGCGAAGGTGGCTAGTAGAAATACTACGGATATCAGTGTTAGAACTCCACCAGTTTCGATGTCGTAGTTCTTGATCTCCTCAAAGCAGACCACAGCAACTGGGATAGTACCCAAATCCGGCTCCGATGAATTCTTATACATTTTACCGATGCAATACCTGGTACAATTATAAATATTACACAAAATTAGATATTTTTTTTATAATATATTTATGAAATCGCAGCTAACTTCTTATTATTTCCGTTCGATGTTAACGACACAATTTATATGCAGTAAAACTTGATGACTAGTTCTGACGTAGGTACCGTAGGGCCTCGTTTTCCTCACGGCTTATCGTTTTAATACCATTTATGTACAGAACAAAATTTGTTGTCCGTTTTTAAAAATAACCATATAAATTAGTCAAATACTCGTATAGTATTATTAGGATGAAGATTATTAGGAATCTTTACAAAGTATAGAAACTTACAAAGAGGGATCTTCAACGAACACAAATCCGGGAGAGTCCAACGTTGAAACACTATTCCCGTTTAGTACGATGTCTCTCAGCAGTATGTGTCCCAGGGAGCAGTTCATGTTGATCCTGTAGGATCCATTTCCACAGTAGCCTCTTGATCTTATGATCTCATCGTTCGGACAACATAGATCCGCTGATAACGCCAGCCCGCTCAACGCCAGCAATAATACGATTGTTTCCTGAAAACCAGGACACATCTATACAATCTCAATGCTTATATCATTATAACCATACCAGATGTAGGTGTAGTCCACTGCTAGTGATCAATTTAAAATTTAAAATGTACCTTATATCTATGTATATATTAAAAACAATTAAATTATTCATAACTAGCTTTCCGCCCGCATGGAGTTCGGTTATATCGCGTTTCCAAGAGAACTTTTCAAAAGTCTGGGATAAAAACTATCCTATGTTCTTTCTCAAGGTCTACTTTATCTCCGTACCAAATTTCATTAAAAGCAGTTCAGGGGTTTAGGTGTGAAGGCGTAACAGACAGACGGACAGAGTTACTTTCGCATTTATAATGTTAGTAGGGATTAGGTTTTATTAATAAATTAAATTTAAATTAATATGTAGTGACGTAGCTCAATAATGAATAGACATATAAATTATATATTTATTCTATATTCAAATTAAAATAAATATTATATTAGTAGTTTAATTCGTTTCTTTAAAACTGATTGATATTATTCCTATAATTTTTTTTGAGATCGCAACAAATGTTGATGTAATTTTTGTTGCAGTAGAAATAATGTTTGTGTCTAGTGAATTTTTTTTGTACGACAAAATATTTTAATATAATAAATAGAAAGAATCTTAGTTGTCATTACAACTATACCGTCTGAGACTTAATATTTTAATTTAAAGCTTTTAATAATATTTTCATTCACTCACTATCTGTCGTCGTTGCTTAGGCAGGTTTACAATTTAGAAGACTTCATATTAACCTGAGATTTAACAAAAAATTTAGACCTTGTTTAAAAAAAAAATCTCAAAATGTTATTATTTGGTTATTAAATATAACTTGTTTCTTAGAAGACAACTTACTATTATATATTTATTTATTTTTCTTAATATAATCTTCTATATTAAGAGTACATAAATTTGTACATTAAGAAAGATTTTGAGGTAATTTTTTTAAACATCTACACTGATAGCTACAATATAAAAGTTAATTCTAAAACCTTATAAATGAATAAAAATATAAGTATAGCTCCTGCTGTAATAATTGAATCCAATTTTCATAATAAAAAAGTCTGCCTCTTACCCATATTTAAACTCAAGTTTCGATTAATCATGACAAGAGTTTATGTTGAATCATAATGGTATTTTGATACAATTATTTGACAAAAAATATTAATTTCAAGTTCAAAGAATATATACGTTTGATTTCATTTAAAAAAATAAGTATCAGGTTTAATATTTTGTCGATACATTATCATTGTTATTTATATTTTTCACTATCAGCTATAGCTCTGTGTGAGATCCGGTTGCATTGACAGAGTTCATTGAACCTTTGTTAACTATAATATTTAATTAACCTATCTGCATTGGTTGTATAAAAATCATTATTTTATATAAACAAAAATGCCAAAAAATTCATTTGAAACGTTAGAAATTATTTTTCTCAAGGTGGCTCTTTTTTGTTGTAATATAATATTATAGTCTATAAAATACATGTAAAGCATGAATTAATTAATTAACAATTTGTCATCATAGTATATTTTATTTTGAAACACAAAAACATCAAAGTCATTAAATATATTATGATTTTAATGATGTGATTAAGTATGTTTTTATCGATGTCTATATTATTCAGATTATTTTTTATTTATTATTAATTTCAAATCGATTTTGTTTTTATTAGTTTTTTCGAGAATGTGTTCTAACTTTTACTTGCTAGAAGTAAAATTATATGTGTGAATTGAAACTTATATCACAAATTAAAAAGTAATTTTGTCAGTCTGTTGAGATGACTGACAAACAGATTTAGATGAGATCCACTGAGGAAAATTACTACACGAACTATCTAACACTTAAGAATATGACTAATTAATTTATCATACATTTACTTTAAATAATCATTAAAATGAAATATTTGTTAACAACAAATTACGTGACACAAGTCTATGTGTAACTGATATTATTTTTATATAATCTAAAAACCTTTGAATTATGTTGTAAAAAGTTCAAAGCTCATATATTTATTTTAAACGTATTATATAGTATAATTGATTATTATTCAATCTATAATCATATACGTATCTTTTCGGCTCTGATTAAGTGTTCTGAATCATAGCGTACGAAAGTGGGTCAAGCGACAATCAGTGGCCGATAATTATATGTAAGGAGGGTAATTCGGTGTCTTAGACAAAGGTCAATGCTAAGAATACACATGTAGTTTTATACAAGCAACTCTTAATAATGATTGGAGTAGTTTATTATTTCCGTGCATTTGTATTGTCATTTATAATATGTATTGAAATTGGTGGGGAAAAAAATCATTATGAATTTTAGAAAAATGTTTGTTTCGTGAAACTGTTAAATAAATAATTAATAATTATATATTAATATTGAACATAAAGTAATATCATTGTTTCTACTCCAGCATTCTAAATTTCTAACCCAAATTTGCATCATCATATAACATAAGGCATGTAAACAGTTTTTCATCCATAAATCTTCGCACGTTGTAGTTTATCAAATTTCGACTCAGAGTGGTTAACTGCCATTATATCCGTTGTTAAGTGTAAACTCTCAGTTTTGAGCACACTATCTCAGTAACAGCTTTATCACGCATTTACTTAAAGACAATCAAATTATAATTCAAAGAAAACATGGATGCTGGAAAACTGGTCTAATACTTTGCTTGGAAAAAGTAATCGTACAGCTTAGAACGAATGCGCCGAAGGTACTATAAGAAATAGGTTTATTGATTAAGAAATTAGAAGAGTTTCGTATGTAGTGTAGAAAAAACTTACATGAAAAATACAAGTTTATATTCCGTTCCTATAAATAAATATTAAACAAACGCACCCACAATATGTTTTATAATAAGATAAAATTATAAGTTAGTGTTGTCTTATACATATTTCGTAGTTATCATAGCAAAGATTTTTTTTATGAATTAAAAATTGTATGTATCAAAACTTTATTAGATTCTAGAATGAACATAGATTCCACGAAATTATATTTCAACTATTTATAAAGAGAAGTAATTAATATTACGTCTTTACGTATGTTTTTCAAATCGATTCTTCGAATTCTTAACCAAGTCTGTTTTGTCAATAGAGGGAAATCCTTCCAAGTTAAGATTATTGATCAGTTATAGTGAGTAATCATGTAAGCCGTAAATGAATACGTCATGTGAATAAAATATTTATGTGTGTAAATATGTATGTGTGACTAAATTCTTAAAAGAATTTATATGTTTAAAACGAAACGAAACCACCATTTATGTTCAATATGCATTGGAAAATATTAATTTTGTACGTACTTTTCGGTTTCATTGATATTTCCAAAAAAATACAAAAAACTATTTTTTATAAATAGTATTTACAAAAATAGTGTACCCTCTTTGGGTTCTAAGCTTTGATTGCTCGTGAATATAAACTTTGAACATAATTATAACAAACCAAGCTTCATTTAAAACGGCTCACAGTTTTTGTTTTGGTCACAGCGTTTGAAAGGTTCTCTTGGCAACGCGATATAACCGAACGGGCGAAGCTGCGGGCCGAAAGCTAGTAATAATATAAATTTATATTCTCCTAATTGTTCATAATAGATTAACATGCAGATATCGCGCGCATTATGTTTGAACGTAATATCTGTTAAACATATTTTAATTATTATTGGTATTCACACAAATAAATAAACGACCTGTTCCCTTACTTCGTCAAATTGTACGCATTTATTTTAATATTTTGCTACAAAAGTAAAACTATATATTCTACAGTGCACAGAGAAACTAGCGGATAAGTTCAATAAAATGTTAGTTTTATTTCTGACACATTTAGACTAAAAAACAGATAATTCATAAAGTACTTCAATATGATTATATCTGTATTTTTACTATGAGTTTGCATCGTTATACTTTATACGAAGCTTTTGACGTATTTTACTCAATAAAAAACGTTAATATATAGATTTATGAATGAGAAACTGGAAAAGTTCCGTATACAAGACTATGAAAGGCGTTACCGTGTGTATTGAACATGTTGAGTTGACGTTTCAAACACATACTAAGGGTACAGGTTATCTAAACTTGTTTACGATTTCATTAATACAAAGTAAATCAAGCTGAGTGACTTGTTTTTGTAAAGAAACCATTAGAAAGATATCAAATTATATTACTTAGAATTTTAGATTTATATTATTATAAGCTGTTGATAATTTTTTGAGTTAAAAATAGATCGTGATTCAATTCATTCAGTAGTGCTTTTAAAATAATGATATTTTTAAGAACATTGGAATCCTAACTAAATAGAAATAGAAATTCAGAATCCAGGCACTATACTTTGTATATCTGTTTATATAAAACTCATTAAACATTATGTTGCATTATACGAGATAAGTAATATAATACAGATAAGAATTACAAGAAAACGTACCAGTTAGAGGAAAAATAACATACTTTTCTATGAAAAAATATATTATGTTTGAATCACTTTTATTGTTATGTGAAATATTTTTATAATTTGTAACTTATACAAACTTCAGGGCACAGCGTTTATTACAAGCTTGTATCAAATATAGACTAAATTTTTTATATTCATTTACCCGCATCGATACTGTAATTTGCGAAGATTTGTGAATGAAATAACTGTTTGGACGACTCACACTCGTGGTAAATTCACAGTTTCGTCTGACAATGAGATTTTATTATAAATTTCCTAAATCAAAATTGAATTCTCCTTCTTTTAATTATTCTTTTTAAAGCTGTAAAATTTTTCATAAATAACGAAGATATATGCTATTATTTTAAACATTTGATTAATTTGATAACTTTTTTTTACGATTCCACAAATCTTTTCAATTTTCGATTCGGAACTATTCAAATTTTCAAACATTTTTCATATACTTATCATTTATTAATTACGAAAAAAATTTTTTTATGCTTGTCTGTTTGTCTGGCATAGCGTGTAGTTTGTAATGATATGTGACGTTTTTTTTCCCTTTCCATAATACCCATCGACAT